GCACGCTCGGCCGGGCCCCGGCCCGCGCTCGGCCGGCGCGATGCTCTTCTCGCTGCGGGAGCTGGTGCAGTGGCTGGGCTTTGCCACCTTCGAGATCTTCGTGCACCTGCTGGCCCTGCTGGTGTTCTCCGTGCTGCTGGCTCTGCGCGTGGACGGCCTGGCCCCTGGCCTCTCCTGGTGGAACGTGTTCGTGCCCTTCTTCGCCGCTGACGGACTCAGCACCTACTTCACTACCATCGTGTCCGTGCGCCTCTTCCAGGACGGAGAGAAGCGGCTGGCCGTGCTCCGCCTTTTCTGGGTCCTCACGGTCCTGAGCCTCAAGTTCGTCTTCGAGATGCTGTTGTGCCAGAAGCTGGTGGAACAGACTCGGGAGCTCTGGTTCGGCCTCATCACGTCTCCGGTCTTCATTCTCCTGCAGCTGCTCATGATCCGCGCCTGTCGGGTTAACTAACTTCGGCAGAGGGGTCGGAGAGGGGGCGCCGGACAGCTGGAATGCTGGACCTCAAGCCGAGGCCCTACTTGCCCCACACCGGAGGAGAGGTCTTGGTCTGAAGGCAGCTCCTGTTTGTGCCCATCCGAGTGCCCAGTTTTCTCTATACCAATCGTGTCAAATTGTTCCCTGAACAGGGCTAAAAAGAGCAGCTTTGGTCCTTAAAATGTATTTCCTGTTATTTTATTCTTTGAGTAGCTAATCCTGAATTGAGATCCTGAGAAGGGCCCCAGGCCAGGCAGTAGTGAACTCCTCTGACGGTTGTAAACTGCTTATAAGTAAAATGTCCTGATGGGTTCTGAGTATTTTCCACGGATTCTGGGAAAATACTCCTGTAAAAAGGCTGTGAAAGTGGCCTCAGAGATTTCTTCCAGCCAGCAGCGCTGACCAACTGCTCACTGCTCCATTCATCCAGGCCAGACTTCGTTAGATGGTTGAGTGCTTTTAAAAAGTGTAAATGAAGTTGTTTTTCTTCCTCTGTGTCACGTGGGAGAATGGCCCTTTCTTCATTCCAGCCCAGGTAGAGACGGAAGAATGTTGAATAAGATCACAATTAGGACCCTATCTGGATCTCTGTCACCTGAGGAAAGAACTCTGCTGTCCAGACGCTGCCTGGCTTCTATCCCAGCAAAAGATTGCAGTTTTACGGGCTTTTCCACCTTCTTGTGGCCAGCACTGTTAGCACACCTGAGACAGATTTAGGCCTCCCTGAGGGACTGAAGAGAGGAGCAGGTGCTCCGATGCTCACAGGCATCGAGATTGCAAACGGAATCTTGTATGTGGTCTAGGTTTCTTGGCCAGAGAGGTCTTTGGTTTGATGCCAGTCAGATGCCAAATGAGAACATTTGCAGAGTTGAAAATAAAATAAGAGAATGTTTCCTGAAATGAACAGTAGTTGCCTATATTTCTTGAGGGTTACATTAGATGAATGCTGAGGTGCTCCCTGCTGGTTACAGAGCTGAGGTTGCAGATGTACCAGAAAGTGTGGCTAGAGCTTAATGAGGGGGGAGGGGGAACCACTTCTGAAGAATCCCTGCTTCCTGATTTGGACAGCAGGAAAGTCGGTCCCCAGGGTGAAGACAACAGTCTGGGCCTGCATTGAGGACCTGCTGAATAGTTTGTGTGACACCAGAGCCTTTGGCTTTTTGCCAGTATGTGGTCTTTGTGGACCTTGCTGGCACTCTGTTGAGCAGGGATAGGCCTAAGTCCTGTTTTCGTACAGCCCATGAGTTGAGGATGGTCGTTACATTTTTAAAGGGTTAAAAACAAAGAAGAATGTGTGAAAGACAGTAAAGAGACCAACAGAGAACTAGGTCTCTTAATCTCAGCAATCTTGTTCTTTTGGCTAATCATTCTTTATTGCGGGGAAGGGGGACTGTCCTGAGGATGTAGGATGTTTAGCAGCATCTCTTGGGACAACCAAAAGTTTATCCAGACATTGCCAAGTCCTCTGGGGGACAAAATAGTCCCTGGTGAGAACCACTGGGCTAAAATATTTACTGTCTGGCCCTTTACAGAACAGGTTCCCTAACCTCTGCTCTAGAGCTGCAGCTTGGCCAGTGGTGTGAGCTTCGTGACTCCTTTGCCTGGGATGGATGCTTAGTCGTGTAAACCATTGAGATACTTCAATTGGAGATGACTTGTTTGGTTTGGCCCACTGCTACAAAAATGTCTCCTATGCAGGACTGACATAACTTTGTCAAAGCCAGATACAGGCTGAACGTTGGGAGTGGGTTTCCTTGTAATGGTAATTTTTAGATTTCATGTTTTGTGTACTCCCCTGTTTTATTTCGGTAGTTCGGAATTGGGCAATCCTGTTGGTGTAGAAGTGATGAGCATAAGAAGATTGCTTTGAAAATATGATTTGAGGAGGACCCTAATGGAGGAGACACTCAGCTTCCAGAAGGCTGAAATCCAAAGTTTCTTTTCTCCAGTTTAATGGAGTGGGCAACAGAGTAAGGCAGAGTTAAGGTAATGGCAGCTGCAGACTGCCCTGGGACCAAGAAGCTGAGAAGGGCACCCCCAGGCCAAAACCTGCTCTGGGTCTTTACAGAAACCCAGGTGCCCTTGGAACCCTGTCCCTGAAAGGCAGGTGGTGTGGGAGGCAGCAGTGTCATTGCTAAGCAGGCTGCTGATGGCAGAGCAAGTGATGGAAAGACGGTGATGTCTGTGTCTGTGCTGCCCAACTTACCCTTCTCCCCATAGCTCCAAGCAATCTCCCTACCGTCCGTGGGCCTGAAAGAATGGGGTGGGCACTGTGCAGTGCTCCCTGGGGGAGGGAGCCTTGGGCTTCCTTAAAACCTGTCAGCTGGGAGGCTGCCCTCAGGGACAGTGGCAACCCTGGAATGAGGGAAGTTCAATGAAAGAGTAGCTGGCATGGGAACAGGGTGGAATGATTGGGCACACGGCCTGGACTTCTGGGACCCACCCTTACCCTGGCTTTTGTGGCTCTTTCTGCATTGGAGAGAGTTGTCCAAGCATGCAGGGTCCTGGTGGGCCTGTTTGTGTGCGGGGAGGGAGGCCCTTTTCTCTGTGCCTCCCCATAGGTTCATCCTACCCCCGTCGATGGTGGGTGGGGCCACGGATGACAAGGTAAGAGGTGCTTCGTCTGAGCAACAGAATCAGGTCTGGGAGCCTATAAAAACTAGAGGTTCCTGAGGAAATTTGATTTCTTAGGGCTGGGCGGGGCTCCAGAATGGGCATTTCTAAGTCCAGCAGGGGGGACCCTCGCCCGCCCGAGGTCGGAGGGCCCCAGGTGGGGGAATAAGGCCTCGGTTGGGAGGCGGGAGGCCAAAGGGTAGCCTGTGCGCCATCGAGGGAGCGGGACAGCCTTCCGGTCCTGGGGCAGCCCTTTCCCGCACCGCGCTCTCAGCGGAAGGAACAGGCGGGCTGGGTGCTGGCGCGACGAGGAAGTCCCGAGCCCGGCCAAGGTCACACGCGGTAGGGGCCGGGGTCCAACCCAGGATGCCCACCGGGATCCGCTCCGGCCGGGGCTGCGAGTCGAGAGCGCAGAGGCGGAAGTGGGTCCGCCAATGAGCGGTGCGGACGCGGGGGCGTGCCCGAGGGGGCCTTCCCCAATGAGGGCCGGCTCCGGGGCTGGGCGCCGTCCAGTGAGGCCCCCGGGGAGGCGGGGTCAGGGCGGACGGTGTCCAATCAACAGGGCCGGCTTCGGGCGCGGCCGCGACGCCGCCGTCCTCCCCTGCCATAGGTGGGGCCGCCCGGCGCGGGGCG